CCCCCCCCCCCAGCTGCCCGGCGTGGCTCTCCGGAGCAGGTGGTGGCACAGGTTGGCTCTGAAGTGCAGGGTCCAAGCCCGCCACGGGCGCCTGGCTCCTGCCGCGACGTTTGTTCCGGAACTACAACGCGCGCCCAGCGCAGTCGGCGTGAGGGGAGTTTGAGCGGCACGGCGGTTTTTCCGTGCGGTTCTGCCGGGAAGCATGGCACCCCTGTACAGCTGCTTCCTGCCTGCACCCACGTCCCCCGGCGGTGGCGTCTGCCTGGACCCTCAGCACACGGAGACCCGCGTCCCCCGTGGGTGCGGCCCTTTTACCGGGCAGTCGTGAGCGGCGCCTGCAGCCGGGCGGGCCTTGTGTCCCCGCGTCTCCCCCCTACGGCACGAGGGAGCAGAGGCCACCACGACCACCAGCCCCGAGCCGGCCTCTCTAGCCCAGCACCCGGACTACGAGCGGCCCGTCACCCGGACGTCTGTGAGGTAAGCTCGGTGACACCCTTTGTGGACCATGAGTTTCCTACCTTGTTTCGGAAATTGTTCCTGCCGGTGGTGAAATTGTTTCTTGTTGAAACGGGCACAACACCTCTGCCTCCGGGCCAAGAGGGGGTCTAGACTACCAGTCCCAGAGGACTTGTGGCCTGGGCCGCTGGCCACTCGGGGAGGGGACCACGAGGTTACCCGTTCCACCTTGGAGGAGACTCCTCGTTTCCTTGGGGAAGACGGGCCAGTGACGGTGGCTTATGGTGTGGCGGCACAGCTGGGGAGGAGCAGGGCCAGTGGATGGTCTCTCCTGGGGCAGGTGGGGTCTCTGGGACTCTGGCAGTGGCCCTGGCTGGCCTCTGGCTGGCCTCACCCCCAGCCCAGCTGTCTGGGGGACCCCTGCCCCGCAGCCTCTGTGCAGTAGGGCCAGGGTTGAGACGGCGGGGGGCATGGTGCAGCCTCGTATTCCCTCTTGACCCTGCAGCCGCGCCCCCGTTCGGGTGTGCAGGGGTCCGAGCTGGTGGGCCGTGTGCTCAGATGCAGAGTGGAGAACAGGTGGTGGGAGCCCGGCCCACGAGGACAGGCAGAGGCCCTCGGACACCCTTTTCCTGGAGGTGTCCCCACTTCCTGCCATGTGCCTGAGGCCAGTGGGTAGGTCTTCCTGGGGCCCAGAGCCCCCCCCACCCCCGCCTCCGACACCAGTGGCCACTTCAGGATAGGATGTGAGGGTTGGTGTGATGGGTCAGGACACCCTCCCTTGGGGACTGTCTTCCGGTCCCCTCAAGGGCTGGTCCAGGCAGGACAGGGGTGAGGGGCACCCGGATCACCCAGCTGGTAGCCCGTGCCCTGCACACTCTCCTCTGTCCCCCCACCAAGGGTGGGCAGAGCCAGGGCGCCCGGGGACGAGGCTCGGCGGCTGTAACTACCGTCTGGCCAACAGCACACTGGGGTCCTGTGGGGGGCAAGCTCTGCCTCCGTCTTCCAGGCGGCGGGGTGGGTCACCAGTCCGTGCCCAGCGGCAGCAGACAAGAGCTGACCCTTCATCTTCCCCCCGCCCCGTCCAGGTGCCCAGCAGGTAGGCAGGCCTGAAACCCCGACCCGGGGTGTTACAGCTCACTGGGGCCTCTGCCCCCCAGACCCTCGTGTACACGCCAGGTCAGCTCCCTGAGGACGAGGACGGTGTCTCCGTGCCAGCACCCAGGACCGCACAATTGACACACAGCAGGTGCTCAATAAATACTTGTTGAGGAGATACGTAGGAGGGGCCGGAGGGGAGGCATGCAGGCTGCCCGCTGTCCCCACAGCCCAGCCTCCTGCTCGGGCAGGGTCCTGCTCTGGTGGGCAGGGGGCAGGGTGAGTTGGTGAGGGGCCGCTGGGCTGCCCTGAGCCAGGAGGCTGGGCCCAGGCCCCGAGGAAGGGTGGTCCAGT